CTATTATTTCTTCTGTATGTTGCTCTGCAAGAGCATCAAGTATCCCTAGAGGTAAAGGTGCTAGGGCTTAAAAAAAAACCCAAACCATGATGTTTGTGATATTCAATATCAGTATTCATATAACTGGGAAAAGATTGCTTGCAAAACAAACTGTAGCATTGGAAATGTGGGAGGTGTTTTTCTTCTTGCTAACCAGTGCACGCTGGTGCAGGTGAAGCCTCAGCTGGGTGCAGGGGGTTGAACAAGCACAGCAAAACAGTGCTTCTGCTTTAACCAAACAGTCCCAGACTTAAACTTGTGGTTGTGAGTTGTGTTTTTTGTTTGCCTTGTTTTTTGTTTGCCTTGTTTTTTGTTTTTTGAATTAATGGAACCAAAATTGGACATTCATAAGGCAAGGGAAGGCAAGGCCTCCTGTCTCCTTACTTTTGGGTATATGAACCTCCCTGTATTTATTCCATCAGGGAACAAAGAAAAGAAGTGTCCAGATCTGGGTCTCTGCCTAGTTGGTGAGGAGCAGCGGGAGGGCATCTCTGCTGGTGTCCAAGTCTCCATGGTGCTCTGCTGCTTGCTGTCCTTTGCTCCTAATGACAGAAAGCTTTGACCCGGCCACATCTCCGCTTCTGGAGGGAAAAGCAAAGCCTTCTCTTAGGGCTATTTCAGCTCCCAGGACCCTTGTGCTGCCCCGAATGTCCTAGCAGCTGCCCAACGAGCATTTCTGTCTTTCACATCCTCTTCCCCTGCTTACACAATCTGCAGCTAGTATTTTCCTTTTCTCTTTTTCTCTTTCTTTTTTTTTTTTTTCCCTAATCGCAGAAAGGCCTCCCCGCCTAATCTAATTCCCACTCCTTTGTCACAAGCAGATGTCACTTTTACATCTGTGCGTCTGCTCAATCGCCCCGTCTCCTCCAGCCCAGCAGATGTTGCCGCCGCCGCGGCCGCCGCGACCGAGCGGAAAAGCAAAGCGCAGATCCCTCTGCTGGCCGCCTCCCGAACGCCACGGGTCTCGGCCGGGAGAGGGACGGAGCCGCAAGAAAGGATTATTATTATTATTATTATTGCTATTGTTATTATTATTGCTATTGTTATTATTATTGTTATTATTGTTATTACTGTTGTTGTTCTTGTTGTTATTATTATTAATATCACTGTTGTTGTTGTTGTTGTTATTGTTCCTTCTTCACTTCTTCCTCACCATCATCATTACTATTGCAAATGCCCCCATCCCAACTGGTTAGGCAGCAGCAAAGCAGCCAAGAAGGCATCCTGGGGCCTGCCATCCTAAGCTAGCGCGGAAGGGAGGGAGGGCAGCGGCCCCGCTGGGCGCCGAGCAGGCAGCGCCGGTGCCCCCTGCTCCGCGCAGGGCCGCCGAGCCCGGCCTGAGCAGCCGCTGCGAGCGGGGCGGCAGGGACAACAAAAAGTGGGAATTTTTTTCTCCCGGGAGTGGCAGGTAGCCCCGAGGCGCGTTGGGAAAAGGAAGGTGTCGCCGCCCTGTCCTTCTGTTGACGGGGAACAGCCAGCGCCTGTCCCCGGCCCGTCCGCTCCTGTCGCCCGGCACGGCTCGGCACCGCAGGGCCGGTGGAGGGCCGGGGACCCTCCTGCGGCGGCCGCACCCCAGGGCCGCAGTGCGGGGGGATGCTCTGGCCGCTCCCTCCCAACAAAGCGATGCCAAAGAAACCCCGGTCCGTATTTAACATTTTATTCCGGCGGGTGGGATGGTCACGGCGCGGTCGGAGCCGGGCCCGGGAGGAGCTTTCCCATGCTCGGCGGCGGCCGTACAAAGGCGCGCTGTTCCCTGTTTTGTTCCGCTGCCTCCGAGCATTCCTCCCGCAGCCTGAGGGGAGCGGGCCGGGCCCCTCTCAGTGCTCAAGGAGAGGGAAGAAAAGTGGCTTTTAAATACTCGGCGTGTTTTTCTCCGGCACCAGCGCATCCAGCGCATCCCGCGCGCATCCCGCGCACCCCGCGCGCCCCGCGCATCCCGCGCATCCCGCGCATCCCGCGCTGCCCGGCTGGGCCAGAGTTCACGATGGAGACAAAAGGGCTCTTCTGGAAGAGGGGAAAGAAAAGAGGGGGTGAAACAAACGGGAGGCTCTAATTCTATTTGTGTCGCCTGGAAATCAGAAGGGGTTTTTCCACACTTCGCCTTGATTTGATTATTCCTTGGAGATGGTTTCTCTGCCCCCAACCAGACGCGTGGGGGAAGGCCGCTGAGGCAGTTGGCCTATAGTGGGAATAATCAAATTACCCATTTTCTGCAACTTTTTCGGCAGAACCACTCGCGTGTAGAAAGAACAACTGGAGCCCAAATCACTCGGAGGGGGAGCGGGTGAAACCCCGGCGGAAAGGGGACGGGAGGGGCGAGGGGTGAGGCAAACCAGCCCCCGCGGCAGTGCGGAGCCGGCCACGCCGGGGACAAGGGGGCAGCCGGGGCGGCAAGGCCGGGGACAGGACAGGTGCCGGGTGGGCAGCCCGATACCGAGCGGAAAAAAACAAGTGCTCCCCA